ATTTAATAGCTGCTTTCAACTACCTGAAAGGGGGTTCCAAAGAGGATGGATCTAGACTGTTCTCAGTGATAGCAGACGACCGAACAAAGAGTAATGGTCTCAAGTTGCAGTGGGGGAGGTTTAGGTTGGATATTAGGAAAAACTTTTTCACGAGGAGGATGGTGAAGCACTGGAATGGGTTACCTAGGGAGGTGGTGGAATCTACTTCCTTAGAGGTTTTTAAGGTCAGGCTTGACAAAGCCCTGGCTGGGATGATTTAGTTGGGAATTGGTCCTGCTTTGAGCAGGGGGTTGGACTAGATGACCTCCTGAGGTTCCCTCCAACCCTGATATTCTATGATCAAGCCACCGCTGGTGTTACAGATGCAGGCTCACATACCAGGATCATCTTTTTAGAGGAGTGCTTACTCCTGTCTTTTGGTGCCAATGACTCGGTGCCCATGCCCATTGGGTCCATGTGCCTGTCAGCAGTACTGGTTACTGTTGGTCTCTGTGAGCCATGGGTGCCAGTCAGATGGTCTCAGTGCTCAAGTTAGCCACAAGCAATCACCATCTTGTTCTGTATCTTCGGACTCATGAAGGGGGCTTCCTGCTCTCTTCTTAGAAGATTTGTGAGAGGGTCTGCAGCCTGCTTCGACCAATAGCCCTGAGATGTAGAAAGCTGTAGGGAAGACATGTCTACCAGGTGACTGGGGTTGGAGAGCTGCCGCCATGAAAACAGTCTTCTGGCAGAGCTCTATTTTTGTGGGATCCTGGCCAGAGCTGTTGGCAAAGACCACACTTCTGTTGTATGTGGCCTACCCCGAGGCAGTGAATGCATGGAGAGTGTTTATCTGCAATCAGGATTGCCTCTTTACAACTAAGGCACTTCTTGAAGCCTGGCAAACAGAGCATAGGCTGTTGGTGGAAAGGGCACCTGACAGGGGAGAAAAGGTGGGAAGAAAAATAAAGTCTCTTTTTCTGTTTTTAAGAAAGAGCGAGAGAGAAAGAAAAACTACAACTAGAAGACTACGATGGATAAGTAGATTAAGATAGGTCTTAATGGACTGCTAATGGCTCCATCTCTAGCCAGGGTGGTTGAAAAGGAACTGAGGAAGGTTAGCCCACATGCGCTGGATAGGCTCGTGGCATAGCACAAGGAGAGACAGCGCATGTGTGGGCCCAACGGACACTGCTACCAAAGTTCTCCGATCAGCAGCGCAGGGATGCAAGCACACTTACAGTGGAGCACCCATAAGGACTCTACTTTGAAGAACAACTTTCTAGGTGCAATTATTCTGAACATCCAATGTATTGGCACTCAGAACACTATTTACTACTCATTGAAACGGCAGTAGTGATTAACAGTGCTAAAGTTCAATAACTCCTAAAGTTATTCTGCAACCAGTAAGCCGAATGGCTAGTTAACTGAAAGGGGAGAGACTGATGCCCCAGCTTCTCAATGACACACTGTGGACCTCACAACAAGGTTATGTCTCTATTTGCGTTGAGTACCTCAAGAACGTTGAAATTTACAAAGAGCACGAAGACTTATGAAGACAAAGCAAGGAATTTTAAAGACACTAAACATAAAATTAATTGAAGGTGGTTTCAGAGGGAATTGACAGATTACATGCTGACAATATTACTGTCAATACCAGTGAAAATCTGGCTTAATCTAATTAACAAATAACTGGAACCACACAAGAACAAAATCAAAAAATGATTCAGACATGTATTATGTTTCCATTACTTAACCAACATGCCCGATGACATGTACAAAGGTTATCGGTTAAGACCAGAACAGAAACTGAAATATGGTTGGTAGTCAGAAGCTTCTTCCTGCTCTTCTAATTTTTAAAAATTGAAAATGCAGCCCTCCAGGAAAAATTCTACCCCAAAACTACCTTTGCAAAGGAGGTTCTGATTGTGCAGGGGTGGCCAATCTGTGGCTCCGGAGTCACGTGCAGCTCTTTAGAAGTTAATATGCGGTTCCTTGTATAGGCACCGACTCGGGGGCTGGAGCTACAGGCGCCAACTTTCCAATGTACTTGGGGGGGGTGCTCACTGCTCAACCCCTGGTTCTGCCACAGACCCTGCCCCCACTCCACCCCTTCCCGCACCCTCCCCTGAGCCTGCTATGCCATCGCTCTAAAGGTAGATATGACAGAGTGTAGGGCATATAACTGATTAGTGGACTGAGAGCTCAGCTGTTTGTGTTTCTTGTGTTTTACTTGCAGAACTACAAGCATTTCCTGTAAGAACAATTTCAGCCACACTGCTGCTTATTGACTTAAGAGTATCTTTGTCCAATAGCCCATTGGAATTAGAAACTTTTTAAAAAAAACACATGGGCTCTGAAAGTATGGAATGGATACATAACCCTCAGTTTCACAATTTATACGGGAGAGAATAAGTAAATTATCTCAATAGTCAAATTGATATTTGCCCTGTAAGTCTCCTTTTGCTGCTGCAAGTGGCTAGAGTAGATGATACGTGAACATTTTCCCAAACAGAACCCGTCACTTGAAATCAGTCAGAGGGCACACCAAAGCCACGCATCCAGGTTATTGCTGTATATTTGGTATCTTCTACTGTATTCTTGTAATGAGAATAATAGACACCAATGCCCATTGGCAAATCATATTGAAAGGCAGGTAGAACAAAAAGTAGCCACATTTGCACTGCATGATCCAGACTCTTCTGGATTGGTATAGCCAGAAGATTTGTTTAACCATAAGAAGCACTACAGTGCCATCCCTTGAGACTTCCATTATTAGACCAAGAACAGGATGGGAAAAATCATAGTGAGTGCACTGAGAGATTTCACAGTTGAGTGGTCTGATAGCAGAAAAGAAGTTACTTATATCACCACTCTGAGTACAATCCTAAGGGAAGGACCTCCCAATAACTCCTGAAATATCAAAGCAGAACAATAGTATTCGGATAACAGTAGCAAATGTTGCAGGAGCAGCTTGTAATATGAGAAAACACCTTCCCTTCATCAATGGACAAGAAGTGGTAGCCCATCTGCATATATAACAGTTCGTGTTCCAGCATGAAACCTGATTGGTAAAGGTCCGAGATCTCAGCAATGTACAGGAGTAGTTGAAAACCACTTTCAAGAACTATTGGTTAGTTTGCTCAGGAAAGAAAGGTTGGATACTAGGTGGTAATTTGCTAGATCCAAAAGGTACACAGGTGGCTTTCCTGATTATTGGCTGTGGTTGTCCGTCCAGAGTCAGGCCTTAAAAGCTCGTGGCTCCTTAACAGCAGCTAGGCTGGGGTACTGCCTTCACTCAGGGGATGGTAGGAAAACAGAAACATGCAGACTGTTTAAAGTTAGTCTAGTAGTGATATTTAGACAAACTAATCACATCTGCATTGAAATAGACAGTTCAATTATAGAATGAACTGCCTACAGGATAGTGTCACTGTAGCCTTTGAAGAATTCTAAAAACATCTGGACTAACAGACTTATGGGAAGTCAGGAATAATCTCAAGGACCCTGAAGTCAACTTCATAATCAGATGCATTAGGATGATCTCCAATGCAGGAATCAAAAATATCAATGTTTCTCTGGGAGGAAAGTTATGTGAGCACACTTGGAGCAGTACTAGACTATCTCATTATTCAATAAGCAGGGGGGGTGGGGGGACAGACTAGTCCAAAGACCAAAAAAGAAAACCCCAAACATCAAATATGCTAAAGCAGAAATTATCAAAATGAATTATAGACTACTTGCTAGTGGACCACAGACAGGTGGCTTGGCACATTATGCAACCTTGTCTTTTCTCCTGCCCTGCTCCTTATCAACTTAAGTGCATTAAAAGAAAGCTAAAAATATATTTCACACTTTCTTAATATCACTTTTCCATGAAAGCACTTTCTCTAATTGCCACAGGAATGTAATACCAGGAAAACAGGAGAAAGTCTGCACAATTACAGTTCAGAAGGGAGGTGGTCTGTAAGATAATGTCTATATTAAAATGTGATGCACCATACAAAAATGTTTGAGAACCTGTTGCAAGAAAAAAAACACAACCCACCAGCACTGAAAGGGGCTCAGATATTAGCCTTTGCTTTTGAAAAGAGGGACCAGCTAACAATGTTTTTCTGTTTCAAGGCCTGTACGCATAAGAAACCAGACCAGAACCATTGTATCAGTAAAGAACTCCTCACCATTCATCTAAGAAGAGGATCGGACAATAAAAGCAGTTGGGAATGGTTGCAACTTCATAAGCAGGGAAGCTCATGCCATCTGGTGATGAAACAGCTTATTGCCTCAGAGTTTTAGCTATGGTGACCCGTAAAGTTTATTGTGAGCATGGACTCAGTATTTTAATCTTAAATATTCTAAGGTATAGGTGTGGATTTAATTTGAAATTAACTCCTCTTTAGCCCACCTTTTTGTTTTAGATTGCTATGGGACATTCCAGAGTCCAGACAATAATTCTAAACAGACAACTATAAAATCCAGAAGTAATCTCTTCTTCTTCTGCACTTCACGTGTCCCAACCTGCTCTCTGGTTCATGGTTCCCACCCTTGGAAGATCACTACATTAAATCAATCAGGTCTATACAAGTTATGTATGTTTACACATTTTCAAGATGTATATTCTTCAGTACAATAAAATTCATTCTGGTAAGCCCTTTAAAAAGTTATGTATACTCATTTGATAAGTGTATCGAACTAATATCCCAATTACCTTCAATAGAACTGTGTTGCATGTCTCTGCCAGTGTTTTAAATCAGACTCTGAAACTGGCAAACTGAGTATTTTAGAAACTCTTCAAATCTGTTTAAAGATACTCATTAAATATGCTCAAGTTTTTAGTGCTGAAAAGGCTTTCAAACCATTTCTAGCACAGTATGATTACATAAGAATGTCTCAAACTCAAGGAAACACTGTTTAAATTTGTCTCATGTACATTGGAACACGTTTAAATAACTGATAATCCTAACATATCAGCCTTCTGTCAAAAGGTCTGGTACAGTAGATAAACAGAGATTAGACCTTACCTCATCCTGTATCCCACTCGTGGTAGTTAATTTACTCCCATCAGTAACTGTTATAATTATTGCTGGCTCCAGAAAAAAAGGGTTTCTTCCCTAAAAGAAAATGTAATTACATTAGAAATGCTACATTCAAATGTAAAAGGTTCTTGCTTAAACCCACAGTGGTGCACCAATGGCCCAATCCACCACACACTGAAGTCAAGGGAAATATTCCCACTGATTTCAGAGAGTGCTGGATTGGGGTCGTAGGTAGATGGTTTGGTTCCATGGCAATACTCTAGGCTATGAATAGGTTCCTCAATCTTTTTACACCTGCAATCCTAGAACCAATATATATGCTACATATACCTAAAATAGGCATTTACATTTATTGACTATACATTTCATAATGTCATATGTTAAAGTAACAAAAAATTGTTAGTCTTTTTGAGAATTTCATTAATTGCACATATGCAAATACTAAATGGTCAATAAATCCAACAGTGTAGCTGTTAACAAGTGGAACATTATCTTCATAACCAGAAGATCTTGCAACTCCCTCCTCTACTACCAATCAAAAATTAAGATTTTCAGAATACTATACAATCACAAGAAAACATCTTCACAACCTAAAGGTTGAGAACTAATATTCTAGAAACAGAATTTAGAACTGGGTGGTCCCAGTTATTTGGGTCACATTCCAGAGTGATTTTCTCTCTCTTTCGCATGCACATCCACACACCTGTTTCATTAACTATTCAAGTCTTCATAAACATTGACAAGCTTTCTACATCAGCGCCATTTAAGATAGTGTCCAAAATTACAGAAGACATTTTGTGACCTTGTCTGTCAAAGTGGCTTGAAGGCCTTGAGGTCCTGTTCAACTCATAATTAAGCCTTGACAATCAGACCACCTGTGTTGCCACTGGCACTTCCCATTTCCACCACGAGACTTCCAGGAACCTTCAAGAGGAGGATCTAGCCAGTGTGTTCCATCCATGCATGCGTCAATTCAGAGCGGGTTACTATAATTCACTGTATCTGGGGTTGAAGATGGAATCCTGTGACAGCACCAGGAGCATCTCTCTGTTCTTTCTTCTGTCCAATGGTTTCCAGTCTGCTTCTGTTGACAGGTTTGAAAAATCTTTGGCTATGTCTACACTTAAAACTGTAGCATTTTAAGTGAAAGCACTTACTGCAGCAACTGGAGAAGTTCTCTGATCACTATAAGTAATTTACCTCCCTGAGAGGCAGTAGCTAGGTTGACAAAAAATTCTTCTGGATTTTTCACACCCTTGAGAGACGAAGCTATGTTGAGAAAACTTTTCAATGCAGTTCTGACCTTTAAAAGCCATAACTGGGTCAGGATTCAGCTATATCAGAGACTACTTCTCCATCCATAATCCACCAAAACAGCTGTGCTCCTTTGGACAAAATAGTTTACAAAACTCAGGTCAAAGCTTTAGAGAAAGCACTCTTAGTCTAGGGATTTATCTGGAATGTCACTGCACAGCTATTAGACATTTCCATGATCTGACCATTCAGAGCATGCTGCAAGACCCTCCTCTTTGATAAATCTTTCCCACCATAACCAATATATAAAAAAACCCTCTGTTTTAGGATAGAAATGCAAACGAGTCCATGAAACTGCTCTGGACCTCATCATTCAGACTTAAATTTTTGTGTAAAAGTACAAAACTAAGAACTACAGGTTAATCCTCAAGATTTTTCCTAAATTTTTAACAGAGACTTACAAAATTTAATATTTTATTGCTACAGAGAACTTAAAACCTCAAGCACTGAAATTAAACAGTGAAGATCAATTTCTTCTGAGGGAAAAACTACATTATAAACCAATTTAACATTCATAAACTGTTTTAAGTAAATGTCTAAAGTACTCATTCTTTTTATTCAGTTTGCCAAGATCATCCAGTCTTGTTTTTAAGTTCTAAGCAACAGTTGTGGTATGCTATCCTGTCAACTAGTAGTTTATTACAACTGTGAAGCAAAAACTGAAAGCTAATTAGGTTGCAGTTCATTTAATTTAAAACAGATTTCATTATTACAGGAGGAGCTCTGAATCACTAGTAAAAAGCATTTGTACTACAGCTGATGAAGGAACAATGTCAATTTATACAGCAAAGGGACAAAAATATCTTTACCTAATCAGTATCATAAATGACATTAACAAGAAAGGGAACAGTCATAGTCTTTTTCGTGACTATTTGTCCATCATGTTCCACATCTAAACTCTTCCAGATCAGCAATCCTGTGTGAATCATCATTCAAAGTATTACACTACTGTCTTTGTTTCTTTTAAGAGGAACAACCCAATTTTTCAAAACTTCCTATTTGGATGCTTTTATGTATCTCTAATGGACAAAGTATTTTCTCCCAGTCTTATACAAGGGCTGGTCTACATTGAGGGGGGGGAGGGGAGGGGAGATCGATCCAAGATATGCAACTTAGCTGAAGTCAAAGTATCTTGGATCGAATTACCTGGGGTCCACACGGCGCGGGATCGACGGCCGCGGCTCCCCCATCGACTGCGCTACCTTTAGTTACTGTTAGTCTTTAAGGTGCCACCAGACTCCTTGTTGTTTTTGTAGATACAGACTAACACAGCTACCCCCTGATACTTTATTCAAGAACATTGTTGTTATTACAGCTATTTACCTAAAAGAACAAAAATCTATTGTTCACTAGCAAAATATGTAAGAACAAATTATGCTTAAGGTTGCTGATCTTACACACCTTTATAGAGAGGACTAGAACAGTCACAACTGCCAAATCAGAATTCTACCTCCTTGTAATGGTGTTGGCACCTGCCTCTCACGAGCACCCCCTTTCTCTGGCCAACGGTTCTCTCGGCTGGTCTTCAGCGACTTACCCTCCAGCTGAGCCATATACACTGGCCCCCCTTCCAAGGTATACAGTCCCGAGTTCTTATCATGGCCCTGATATGGGGCCATAGCTCTTAGGCTTCTTCCCAGAGGCACTGCCTTCTTCAGACACGCAACTGTTGCCCATTTCGGTACCCTCAGCTGGTGTCCTTTTCAGCAGCCCTCCCTGGGCTCATTCTGCAATCAGACCAGCAGAAGCCATCTCAGTACTCTTGTCTGGCCAAGTTCTGTGCTTAGTCTGCTCATAAAAACCGGTTACTCACCTTCTAGTAACTGTTGTTCGAGATGTGTGGTTCATGTCCATTGCAAGCAGGTGTGTGCGCGCCGCGTGCACGCCAGCCGGAAGATTTTACTATAGCAGCGTCCGTAGGGTCGGCTCCGCCGCCCCCTGGAGTGACGCCCTCATGGCGCTGTATATAGGGGCCAGCCGACCCCCCACCCTCTCAGTTCCTTCTTGCCGATACTCCGACAGAGGGGTAGGAGGTGGGTATTGGAATGGACATGAACACCATATCTCGAAGAACAACAGTTACGAGAAGGTGAGTAACCGTTTTTTCTTCGAGTGATTGTTCATGTCCATTCCAAGCAGGTGACTCACAAGCCCGAGTCTAGGCAGTGGGGTCGGAGGTCACTGCAGACTGAAGGACTGCACAGCCAAATGCAGCATCCTCCCTGGCCTGGTGCGTGATGGCGTAGTGCGCCGTAAAGGTGTGGATTGAGGACCAGGTGGCCGCTCTACAAATTTCTTGCGTCGGACCTGGGCCAGGAACGCAGCTGGAGGCCTGCGCTCTCGTGGAGTGGGTCGTGATAGGCGGGGCTGGTATATTGGCCCGACTGTAGCACTCCTGGATGCAGGTTCTGATCCAAGCCGAGATTCGCTGTGATGTGACCGGGAGCCCTTTGATCTTATTGGCCACGGCGACAAAAAGTTGGGTTGACTTCCTGAAGGATCTTGTCCTTTCGATATAGAACGCGAGAGCCCTGCGAACGTCCAGGGAGTGCAGTCTACGCTCCTTCGCAGAGGAGTGTGGTTTTGGATAAAATACCGGGAGAAAAATGTCTTGACCCATGTGAAACTGGGAAACCACATTAGGCAGGAACACTGGATGCGACCTGAGTTGGACCTTGTCCTTGTGGAAGACGGTGTATGGAGGTTCAGATGTTAAAGCTCCGAGTTCTGACACACTGTGGGCTGATGTGATAGCCACCAAAAACGCTACCTTATATGAAAGATATAACAGCGATCACAAAGCCAGCGGTTCGAAGGGGGGCCCTTTGAGGGCGGACAGGACCAAATTGAGGTCCCAAGCAGGGACAGGTTGACGAATATGCTGGAACAATCTGTCAAGGCCCTTAAGGAACCGTCCAACGAGTGGGTTCGCAAACACTGAGGTCCCCCCCTCTCCAGGGTGGAACGCCGAGATTGCAGCAAGGTGTACTAGAACTGACGAGAGAGTTAGTCCCCGATGTCTCAAATGTAGCAAACAGTCCAATATGAGAGGGATCGGGGTGAGCAAGGGGGCCTGACCCCGTTGTGTGGCCCAGAGGGAGAAGTGCTTCCACTTGGCCAAGTACGTGGTCCTTGTCGAGGGCTTCCTGCTGCCCAACAGGACCTGTCTGACCTGATGAGAGCATTGCAACTCTACTGGGTTTAGCCATGGAGCATCCAAGCTGTAAGGTGCAGTGACTCCAAGTTTGGGTGAAGGAGGCGACCGCGATCCTGCATGATCAAGTCCAGTAGTAGGGGCAACCTGAGTGGCACCCTTGTAGACATGTGCAGGAGAGAGACGTGTACCAGTGCTGGCGCGGCCACGCAGGCGCTATCAGGATGAGCCGAGCGTGATCTCCGCGGGTCTTGAGGATTACTCTGTGAATCATGGGAATCGGGGGAAAGGCGTAAAAAAGCCCATCTGCCCAAGGGAGGAGAAAAGCGTCTTTTAGGGACCCCGGACTGTGCCCCATGAGGGAGCAGAATTGGCAACACTTCCTGTTCTCGCTAGAGGCAAACAAGTCCACCTGGGGATGACCCCAGAGTCGGAAAATTGAGAGAACTATATCCGAGCAGATAGACCACTCGTGACCCTGGAACGAGCGGCTGAGCCCATTGTGCGTGCCCGGGAGGCAGGATGTTGTCAGGTGAATTATGTTCTGTACGCAAAAGTCCCATAATGCGAGGGCCTCCTGGCAAAGGGGAGAGGAGTGAGCACCACC